TCCAAAAATCATCCAGATCAGACCAGTGGTTCTGGAAATTTATGGAAGTACTAAAAAGACCGACCGCGCTGGAGAGAACAGCCGAATTGGGTTCCATGCGATGGGGCCCTGCGGTCGGTCCCAGTATAAGGGAATAAATTACACGAAAGGCTAAGGCTACAGAGATCAGGTAGGGTTCGCATGAATCCCCTCGTTCGGTTGTTTCTGTCTACCGGTAGTTTGGAACCGAACGGACCGGGCTTGTGGAGGTCTCAGCAGTGTTCGCCTAGTCGAGTGTCCGATTTGAGTTCCAGACACTCGATGGCAAAACACAGCTGTTCGGGAGTTTTAAAATGGCCGCCACCACGTGTTCGTTTCCCGAATGGCGGCCACCCCACGAACAAAGGACCTACTGCATATCTTGTTAATTACCCATTCGCAACATTGTTGCAACGGGTAATTGAAGGCACACTTCACACAGGGGAGGTCTGATTGTTCGGTAGTTTCATTCCCTTAGTTTATTCGAATGATTCTACCGAACAATCAGACGAATACACTTTATTTCAACACATACAAAACCAGCAGTTTACACGAATGCAGTTAAACACATGTAATTTTCAGGACAGCCCAGTGCCATCCGCTACACACCACATTCCCCGCTACGTACATACATGAAAAACAGATCATGACAAACTGATCTAACTGCATTATATGAAGTGAGCAGAATATAGATCAGTTATAGCAGTGGATGTGATCTACTTTTGGTGGAGGTTTTGATATATTCCATATATATACAGTGCCTTACAAAAGTACTTATCCCCCTTGGCATTTTTCATGTTTTGTTGCCTCACAAACTGGAATTAACATGGATTGTTTGAGGATTTGCATCATTTAATTTACAGAACATGTCCACAACTATGAAGATTTTTTATTTGATTTTTTTTTTGTGAAGCAAACAACAAATAGGACAAAATAACAGAAAACGTCAATGTGCATAACTATTCACCCCCCTAAAGTCAATATTTTGTAGAGCCACCTTTTGCGGCAATCACAGCTCCAAGTCGCTTTGGATAAGTCGCTATGAGCTTGCCACATCTTACAACTGGGATTTTTGCCCATTCCTCCTTGCAAAACTGCTCCAGCTCCTTCAAGTTGGATGGTTTGCACTTGTGAACAGCAATCTTTAAGTCTGACCACAGATTTTCTATTGGATTGAGGTCTAGGCTTTGACTAGGCCATTCCAACACATTTACATGTTTCCCCTTAAACCACTCAAGTGTAGCTTTAGCAGTGTGTTTGGGGTTATTGTCCTGCTGGAAGGTGAACAGAGTGGTACAGGTTTTGCTCAAGAATATCCTTGTATATAGCACCATCCATCTTTCCTTCAACTCTGATCAGTTTTCCAGTCCCGGCTGCTGAAAAACATTCCCACAGCATGATGCTGCCACCACCATGTTTCACTGTGGGGATGCTGTTCTTTGGGTGATGTGATGTGTTGGGTTTGCGCCAGACATAGCGTTTTCTTTGATGAATCATCAGACCTTCCTCCATTCATTTTGGGAGTCTCTCACATGCCTTTTCGCAAACTCAGAACGTGCCAGTTTGTTTTTTGCTAAAAGTAATGGCATTCTTCTGGCCACTCTGTCATAAAGCCCAACTCGATGGAGCGTACGGCTTATTGTCAACCTATGTACTGATACTGCAGTCTCTGCTGTGGAACTCTGCGGCTCCCTCAGGGTTACCTTAGGTCTCTGTGGTGCCTCTCTGATTAATGCCCTCCCTTGTCCGGTCCGTCAGTTTTGGTGGGCGGCCGTCTCTTGGCAGGTTTGCTATGGTGCCATGTTCTTTCCATGTGGTAATGATAGATTTATGGTGCTACTGGGGATCATCCAAGATTTGGATATTTTTTTATAACCTAACCCTGACTTGTCCTTCTCAACAACATTACTTGTTTGGAGAGTTCCTTGGTCTTCATGGCAGTGTTTGGTTAGTGGTGCCTCTTGCTTAGGTGTTGCAGCCTCTGGGGCCTTTCAAAAAAGGTGTGTATATGTAATGATAGATCATGTGACACTTAGACTGCACACAGGTGGACATCATTTCACTAATTATGTGATTTCTGAAGGTAATTGGTTGCACCGGAGCTTTTTATGGGCTTCATAACAAAGGGGGTGAATACATACGCACATGCCAATTTTATAGCATGACAGGAGGCTTCATATTTGCTTAAGTCTCTCTTTACTAGAACTCCACAGCAGCACATTAACATAGAGATAAAAACACCAGAGACAAAAAAATCAGGAATCAATAAAAGGCTTCTCCCAACTAACTATTTCCTCTTTCTTTGCTGCTCCGCAGTCAGTACAGGTCAGAGTACCACTGCCTTCTGTTATATATGGGTGGTTGTGGATATTTTACTGTATTTATATATTTATTACTGAATTGATTTATTTGTTTAGAGGGTATTTTTGCATCTACCTACTTAGTGCTGTAGGGATTGATTTATTTAGCTATACTGTATTTTCTGCATCTACCTTCTTAATGCTCTAGTGTTTGATTTATTTAGCTATACTGTATTTTCTACACCTACCTTTACCTTCCTACTGCCGTTATGATTTATTTATTTAGATTGTATTTTTCTGTCCCTACTTTTTTGCTGTAGGGATGTATTTTCTCTTATGACTTTTCTGCACTTTCCTGTTTTGGGCCCCCCTGTCTGGGGATCGTTTTTTTTCTGGGTTTGGGGATTTTCCTTTTTTCCCTTCCTCCCTCTACCTTTTCCGTGTCGCTTTGCCCCCTCCACTTTTCGTCCGTTTTATGGACGCCGGAAAGCGGTCCTCCGACCGCCTTCCGTTGTCGACCGCCGGGACCCCGGAGTAAGACTCTGGTGGTCCCACGTGTTGGATCCCGCCCCCTGGCTCTGTCCGCCGAGCGAGATCCTCTGCATCCACCTGACCCATGCTTCCGCTCGCAGTATAACTGCTCCCGCGGCGTGGGTGGGGGTTTACTTTCCCATGCAGTACTACGGCCCTGAGCATCCACTTCCCCGCGACCGCGTGGTTGGGTGGGGGCAGGGCCGGCCCTTTACCAGACTTACTGCATTACTTCTGTCGATGGCAAGCTCATGTGTTGTAACTTTGACCGGGACTCAGCTATGACTTGGGTGCATTGCACCCTCAGGTTGTCCTGGCTTTGTGCCCCATGTGGCTGGCAGGTTAGGCTACTGGGGACCATAGTGGATGATATAGATCACAGGCAGGCTATATAGAGCTGTGCACAACCCCTCACGGGTTACAGGCACAACTGGCAGTGTTACCACTTATACTCATCCCCCCCACCCCCCTTTTTGTTTGTTCAGATTGCTTGCAGTGCTCTGTTTTATCATATTGACCAATGGAGCACCTCTTGTGAGGTAACTCAGTTGGTGAGTTCCCTGACTACAGGTGTACTTAACATGCAAAAAACAGAATAAGGGACAGCGCTAGTAAGCCACAGAGAATATAAAGAGAGTGTAGGCAGCACACCTATAGGTAGAGGGGTACCCTCTTATCCCCTCAAAATGAATAGGATGAAAAGAATAACAAAAAGAAAGGGTACGCCTTCAGAAAATAATATTAATAATAATAATAGACGTGATTTCTTTTAACTTACGATTTCATGTATTTATACTCCTCGTTTTTAAGTACCAATGTTATGTATCATTCCCTATTACATATAAGAATAGCCTTTATGTATTTAATTTCAATTGTATTAACATGTAATTATGTATATATTTAACATGTTAAAGTGACGTCATTTTGGCAGGATTTTTGAAAATGGCATTTTAACTACTGTTCCTATATAAATCACTGTTTGTCAGGTCTATGCTCTTTTAATATATCAGTTTCTACTTGAAGAAGCCCATGTGGCGAAACGCGTCTGGAAACTTTTTTACTTTGTTATAATAAAGGAATTTTTTGGCTCCATATTATTATTGCCATATTCCTTTTATTATTTTACACTTTATTTTATTTTATATACTTGACCTGACATCATTGTTTTTACTTCATTCTATTCTAATTTATTTTTAATTTTATCTATATTTATTTTTATCTATATATTTTTTCTATTTGACATTTAAGAAGCAAAGAATCCCTAGGTGGGGAATATACCACCCATACGCTACCCACCGAGCAGTGAGTCTGCTCGGTATATTGTAAGTACATTTAATTTTATTCACCTTTCACATTTACAGTGAGCACTATATTCTATTATCCCTTTACTTTTGGGTATACTACTCCACCATACTGAGTGACCTGAAAAGCCCTGCACTTCTGGAATTCAAAGAAAATTCTACATACCCTGTATATCCTTGAGTGGGGATTGTTCCACTTCACGTTATTCATACCAGAGCTGGATTTAGCTCTTAACATTGTGAGTAGTTCATAATTACTTCCAAGCACCTAATTTCCATATAGACTGTACCATTGGAGGTCTCTTTTTTCTGTTTTTTTCATATATTCCACCGGATCACAAGCCTCCATCTGCGACCATCCACTCCATAAGTTGGCTTTATAAGAACTTTTTCCACTGTTGACGGACAACCTTGTATGGATCAGTGTTAAGTCATTTGGACTATTTTTTATCTATTTATTTATTTATTATTATATTTTATTACATATGTCGTATATACCATTATTATAATAATATTATTTTCTGAAGGCGCACCCTTTCTTTTTGTTATTCTTTTCATCATACTTAATATGCAAGTTCACTATTTACGGAGTGTCAGGCACTATTTAACTGAAGTGCGTTATCTACAGTTACACAATGGAATGCTATGTACAGTCACACAGAAGAATGCTATGTACAGTTACACAGTAGAAGGCTATGTACAGTTAAACAGTAATATACTATGTACAGTTACACAGAAGAATGTTATGTACAGTTACACAGAAGAATGCTATTTCTATAGTTACACAGAAGAACGCTATGTATAGTTACACAGAAGAATGTATGTACAGTTACACAGAAGAGCATTATGTACAGTTACACAGAAGAAGGTTACATACAGTTACACAGAAGAGTGTTAATTACAGTTACACAGAAGTGTGTTATGTGCTATTAATCTGAAGAAGTGCTATGTACATCTTATCTGAAGAGCGAAATTTACATTTTATCGGAAGAATGGAATGCGCAGTTCCTCACCTGTACATCTCTGAAGGTCCTGACTTGTCTGTGCCCAAGGACTTGACCGGCTTTGTCCGTGCCTTACTGATTGGCCTGCTATGTGTGTGCTCCATTGATTGGCCTGCTTTGTCTGTGCCCCATTGATCTGGCCTGTGCTTTCTGTGCCAGAATGTCTGCATGCCAAGTCTACTGCCACATACTCACATTTGTGCATTGCATGCGCTGCCCAACTTGCCTCGGTCACTATATGGGGTGCTGCCCCTATCTCCCTGCTGGTGACACTTGTCCTCTATACTCCTTGAGGTCGCTTTGCCTGGGACCTCTGCACAGGAGAACCCTTATCCGGGTTAACAGCGCAGACAATGACTACTATGGCAGTGACCGCCTCCGTGGAATTAGGCTTCAGCCAGGGTCCTCCCTTAAGCTTATCGGGAGCGTAGCGCTAGAGGGCCCACCTTTTAAAATAGCAGGCGACTTGAATGAGTCAGACTCTCCTAGAGGAGAGCAGACAAGGGCACATAAGCGCTTCTGGAAGGGTGAAGGCCCTGAACCAGTGTCCCAAGAAAGATAAGACTCTGAGGAGCGGCTAGCCCCTCTGTAATCGGCCAGACGGCCCTGCCTATATGGCGTGGGGGAGGCGATGACCACCGGACGCAGCAGTGACCACCTTCTTAACAATGCAGACGACTTGAAGGAGTCGGACTCTCCGAGAGGAGAGCAGACAAGGGTAGGGTGAAGGCCCGGAACCAGACGCCCGAAAAGATTCGACTCCGGAGAAGTGTCTAGCCCTGATATGATCGGCCTTGACGGCCAGACGACACTGCCTATGTGGCACAGGGGTGAAGGTTCCCGTAACCCCCCACCACCACCATGGCCACCCTAGCAGAATGGTGGGCGGTCCAGTTCCCCCTCGGAGTGAGAGGACGATGGGGATGTGGATTATGATGGCGGCACCATGAGATGTAGAACAAAGTCCACTACAGGGGCCCTGACGACTGTGGAAGAAGAGGTCGTCTCGTGGATCGCCTTAAACGAACCCCTGTTCGACCCTCGATCGATTGCTCACCTGGTTTCTTTGGAATGGTCCATGCCCGATCACCTGGCACCATCGGTGCGTTTCTGGGCCCATAGACCACTGGCTTGAGAAGCCCGCAGGATAATTTGAGTGGTATTCCCAGTCGGGCTCCCGAACAAAGTAGCCGCAAACCCAGACTTAGACCCAGATGGGGCACTGTGGTTTTGCTGGTTAAGCACCTGTTTAGTATTCAGGAGATCCTGAGTGCGGCCTTCTGCAGTGCCTATACTATTAAGTCCACACTGGCAAGCTGGTTGTTCTCCGCTACACGAGTTATGCTAGCGGAACATACGAGGAAGTATAATATGTGTCCTTTTTTACATGGAAATACTTGACGGAGGCTTATCTCAGCTCCAACCCGTACCTTTTATAGGGGATTGGACCCTTGACCTGGAATTTCACACTTGCCTCCACTTCCGGATGGGCCCCGAGTCTGGTGGTGGCAGACGAACCTATCCTAAACGCAATTTGGACCGCTGGAGGTGCTTGGGAAAGGGATCTAAGCCCCTCAGAGTCCCAGCACGAGTCTACGATTGAACGTATATTCATTAGTTAATTTGAATTAGATGCGGCCCTTCGAGAAACTTCTAGGGACTGTGGGGCCCAGTTCTGGTAAGGTGGCCTCTATTTTCTCCCTGGCGAGATAGGTATCTTGTGCATCAGTCATTTGGGCGATAATACAAATTGGTTGGCAGGTTGGGAGGAATTGAGGACATTTAGGAATACCTGAACTATCTGTAGAGATCTTTCTTGTTTTCCACGCGTTGGGACCCGGACGCAACTCTTCATCGATGAAAGACATCTTGCTGTACGGTCTACCTGGACGGGCTTGCCGGACCCCCTGAGAGGTACCTCCGAGACCAAAAGGTCAGACGCTCTCTGCGTTTTCCCTTGTTCGAGTCCCTGGATTTCGTTTTCAACCAGGGAAATATCATCAACCTCCTCTACATCTCTACATCTCAAGAGTCCTGGAGGGCAGAATTGGACGCAAGGGGGTGCCTCCTATGCTCTCCTCTGCCCGAGTTCTCGTACGTATGGAATATTTTTCTCTGGGAGGACCCGGCGTCAAGACTTTAGTACACGGAGGAGGACCCATTAGGCCCCGACCAGTTCGGCTGGCTGACGGACCCGTTTGCTCAGCGATGGACGCTTCCCTCCAGGAGTGTTCGACACAGAGATGCGGACAAGTCTCCTCCGTTTGTTTGGTCTCAGGACCTTTCTACAGGTGCCTCGGTCTGTTGGTACTTTGGAATTATGATCTCTGCTTCGGCAGAGTCGAACCTAGTTCCTGGATTCACTGGACACTTGCTCATTTGATCTCGGCGATTGTAAGACTTTCGTCTGCATGGCGACCCTGATGTAGTTGCGTCTGGTGAGGATCTCCTAATTTCGCATACCGCTTTTACAGGGTTCGGGTATTGTTCGGTCACTTTATTCCGGGGACTGCCATATTATTTAGATTAGGTAGCGCGTACGACTGTTGTCGGCGGGCCTCACTCTGCTTAGAATTCCCTTTACGATTCCTGAGGACGGGTATTCATCTCCCCAGGGGGTACACGCATTTTTGTCATGCTCCTATGGTGGGGTCTGTCGGGTTTTGCCCATTCACTGACTCTGGATTTATTTCCGTTATTATACCTTGTTTTTCTGTTTTCTATTTCTAAAAAATTGTTTTATGTATATATTTTTCTGATTTCACTTCACCAACTTAGACTA